GTGCTTAGATGTTTATAAATGCAGGCGCACAGAGAGTGTCCAAATGGAAACATTTTGCATGGAACAGCCAAAAAGCAATTTTTCCAAGACAACAAAGTTTGAATTTGTCCAATTAATTTAAACAAAGCACCTAAATACAGAAAGCCAATTGAATTTAAATCTGATGGTGTTGACAACCTGAAACCAATCATTTTATAAAAATTTGATTATCTCATTACAGGTATATAAAACTAGGGCATTTGGAAAATCAGGGAGACCCATCCACCATCTGCCAGAGTTAGCACCATTCAGCACTGAGAGAAATTTCATCTAATTAATCAAAGGTAACACTGTATTTTAGCTCAAAGTCCTCATTGAAGAAATTATACAGATAAAACAACTCTGACAGCAGATTTAGCAGAAGAAAGGCATTTGTGAAGAGAGTGGAGAAGACAGAATATTCCAGAAAACAGTCTGTGCGAATTTGGAGAGATTAAGTTATAAATCATTGTTCTCTTGTTAATTATGTTTATTAAGTTTATTTCTTCTGGATAAAGGAGCAGATAGATGGGAGCAGACAAGGGAGCCACGGAGACAGCGGTCCCTCCGGAAGGCAGATAAGGGTGGGGAGGGAAAAATGTCCTTGGTAGTGGGGTCAGATTGCAGGTGGTGGAAGTGGTGGAGGATGATGCGTTGAATCCGGAGGTTGGTGGGGTGTTACATGAGTACTTCTGGGGTGGTACTTCTGTTTATTTGAACTTTATTCCAGTAGAATTCAGACCAGTTAGGAAGTAGTTACTCATCTAAGGGGGAAATGTCTGTTTGTTAATAATTCTGTTAATTTATTCATTGTTACGGTTAAATAAATAAATTGCTTCTTGTTATCAGGGATTTGGTTTCTTTTCTTTTCATAGATTATGAGAAGAAAGGCGAATTTTTCTGAGTGTTTTGGGGGTAATTATTAGAGAAGAACCCCTACTCCCGTCTTAACAGATTAGGGCTTGTGTTTTAGTTTAATTATCAAAGGGGTTCGGCAATTCCCCCTCCGTAACAATGTTTCTCTTTTAATTCCCTTCTCACTCAGTCACATCTGTGGGGAATAAGATGGGGTCTGGGTTTGGGTGGAATGCTCTCCAGAGGGTCAGTGCAGATTTGATGGGCCAAATAGCCTTTTCCCACACTGTATGAATTTATTTACAAGTTTTTCTTGATGATTGAAAGAAAATTGAATTTCATTACCTACTACCCTGAAAAACATTATCAAGACGTACGTCAAATATGCACACAAGTAAAGTAATACACTTGGAAAGAAATGGAAGAGTATATGTACTGAAAGGAAGTTAGTAAATGCAGTTAAAATTAGACAGTCCCTATTCCCCACGACCCTAACATCTCCCCATCATGAAGACACAGCCTGAACAACCTTTCCCTGTTTTCTCTGTTGAATATTCCATTAAATCATCAATATGAAATCACAAAGACTGGAACAAAAGAATACACACATTCCCTGTGAAATAACTCCACAGAGACCAGTATCCCTTTTTTCATTCACAGATGAGGCGTCCCTCACAAATCAATGGATGTGCCTCCAAGCAGCTTCCATATACAAGTGGAAGTCCTTGCTGTGTTTTCAGATCACACACTGACTCACTTTTCTCTGTTGAAGAGCAGTCTTCAGCCAAGTTGTGAACTATATTGCCATCCATTAAGGTTGGAGAGAGCTTGAACATTACTACAACAGTTTCATTTCCTGCTCTTCCAACAAATCCCCAAAACTCATTCTGGGGTCGGTGGGACCTCGACAAACGGGATGGTCTACACCTGAACCAGAGGGGTACCAATATCCTGGGGGGGAAATTTGCTAATGCTCTTTGGGAGGGTTTAAACTAATTCAACAGGGGGGTGGGAACCTGAATTGTAGCTCCAGTGTACAGGAGGTTGAGAGTAGTGAGGTCATAAATCAGGTTTCAAGGTTGCAGGAGTGTACCGGCAGGCAGGGAGGTGGTTTGAAGTGTGTCTACTTCAATGCCAGGAGCATCCGGAATAAGGTGGGTGAACTTGCAGCATGGGTTGGTACCTGGGACTTCGATGTTGTGGCCATTTCGGAGACATGGATAGAGCAGGGACAGGAATGATTGTTGCAGGTTCCGGGGTTTAGGTGTTTCAGTAAGATCAGGGAAGGTGGTAAAAGAGGGGGAGGTGTGGCATTGTTAGTCAAGGACAGTATTACGGTGGCAGAAAGAACACTTGATGACAACTCGTCTACTGAGGTAGTATGGGCTGAGGTTAGAACCAGGAAAGGAGAGGTCACCCTGTTGGGAGTTTTCTATAGGCCTCCGAAAAGTTCCAGAGATGTAGAGGAAAAGATTGCAAAGATGATTCTGGATAGGAGCGAAAGTAACAGGGTAGTTGTTATGGGGTACTTTAACTTTCCAAATATTGACTGGAAACGCTACAGTTTGAGGACTTCAGATGGGTCAGTTTTTGTCCAATGTGTGCAGGAGGGTTTCCTGACACAGTATGTAGATAGGCCAACAAGAGGCGAGGCCACATTGGATTTGGTACTGGGTAATGAACCAGGCCAGGTGTTAGATTTGGAGGTAGGTGAGCACTTTGGTGATAGTGACCACAATTCAGTTACGTTTACTTTAGTGATGGAAAGGGATCGGTATATAAAGCAGGGCAAGAGTTATAGCTGGGGGAAAGGCAACTATGAGGCGATGAGGCAAGATTTAGGATGCATAGGGTGGAGAAGGAAACTGCAGGGGCTGGGCACAATTGAAATGTGGAGCTTGTTCAAGGAACAGCTACTGCGTGTCCTTGAGAAGTATGTACCTGTCAGGCAGGGAGGAAGTGGTCGAGCGAGGGAACCGTGGTTTACTAAAGAAGTTGAATTTCTTGTCAAGAGGAAGAAGGAGGCTTATGTAGAGATGAGGCGTGAAGGCTCAGTGAGGGCGCTTGAGAGTTACAAGTTAGCCAGGAAGGACCTAAAGAGAGAGCTAAGAAGAGCCAGGAGGGGACATGAGAAGTCTTTAGCAGGTAGGATCAAGGAAAATCCTAAAGCTTTCTATAGGTATGTCAGGAATAAAAGAATGACTGGAGTAAGATTGGGGCCGGTCAAGGACAGTAGTGGAAAGTTGTGCGTGGAGTCCGAAGAGATAGGAGAGGCGCTAAATGAATATTTTTCGTCAGTATTCACGCAGGAAAAAGACAATGTAGTTGAGGAGAATACTGAGATACAGGCTATTAGACTAGACGGGATTGAGGTTCATAAGGAGGAGGTGTTAGCAATTCTGGAAAGTGTGAAAATAGATAAGTCCCCTGGGCCGGATGGGATTTATCCTAGGATTCTCTGGGAAGCTAGAGAGGAGATTGCAGCGCCTTTGGCTTTGATCTTTATGTCGTCATTGTCTTCAGGAATAGTGCCAGAAGACTGGAGACTAGCAAATGTTGTCCCCTTGTTCAAGAAAGGGAGTAGAGACAACCCTGGTAATTATAGATCAGTGAGCCTTACTTCGGCTGTGGGTAAAGTGTTGGAAAGGATTATAAGAGATAGGATTTATAATCATCTAGAAAGGAATAATTTGATTAGGGATAGTCAACACGGTTTTGTGAAGGGTAGGTCGTGCCTCACAAACCTTATTGAGTTCTTCGAGAAGGTGACCAAACAGGTGGATGACGGTAAAGCGGTTGATGTGGTGTATTTGGATTTCAGTAAAGCGTTTGATAAGGTTCCCCATGGTAGGCTATTGCAGAAAATACGGAGGCATGGGATTGAGGGTGATTTAGCGGTTTGGATCAGAAATTGGCTAGCTGTAAGAAGACAGAGGGTGGTGGTTGATGGGAAATGTTCATCCTGGAGTTCAGTTACTGGTGGTGTACCTCAAGGATCTGTTTTGGGGCCACTGCTGTTTGTCATTTTTATAAATGACCTGGATGAGGGCGTAGAAGGATGGGTTAGTAAATTTGCGGATGACACCAAAGTCGGTGGAGTTGTGGATAGTGCGGAAGGATGTTGTAGGTTACAGAGGGACATAGATAAGCTGCAGAGCTGGGCTGAGAGGTGGCAAATGGAGTTTAATGTGGAAAAGTGTGAGGTGATTCACTTTGGAAGGAGTAACAGGAATACAGAGTACTGGGCTAATGGTAAGATTCTTGGTAGTGTGGATGAGCAGAAAGATCTCGGTGTCCATGTGCATAGATCACTGAAAGTTGCCACCCAGGTTGATAGCGTTGTTAAGAAGGCGTACAGTATGTTAGGTTTTATTGGTAGAGGGATTGAGTTTCGGAGCCATGAGGTCATGTTGCAGCTGTACAAAACTCTGGTGCGGCCGCACTTGGAGTATTGCGTACAGTTCTGGTCACCGCATTATAGGAAGGATGTGGAAGCATTGGAAAGGGTGCAGAGGAGATTTACCAGGATGTTGCCTGGTATGGAGGGAAGGTCTTATGAGGAAAGGCTGAGGGTCTTGAGGCTGTTTTCGTTAGAGAGAAGAAGGTTAAGAGGTGACTTGATAGAGACATACAAGATGATCAGAGGATTAGATAGGGTGGACAGTGGGAGCCTTTTTCCTCGGATGGTGATGGCTAGCACGAGGGGACATAGCTTTAAATTGAGGGGTGATAGATACAGGACAGATGTCAGAGGTAGGTTCTTTACTCAGAGAGTAGTAAGGGCGTGGAATGCCCTGCCTGCAAAAATAGTAGACTCGCCCACTTTAAGGGCATTTAAATGGTCATTGGATAAACATATGGATGATAATGGAATAGTGTAGGTTAGATGGGCTTCAGATTGGTTTTCACAGGTCGGCGCAACATCGAGGGCCGAAGGGCCTGTACTGCGCTGTAATGTTCTATGTTCTATGTTCTATGTTCTAACATGAAGCAGCTCCTTGCAGGGTTTATAATCTCCCCCTTCCACCACCACCTCCCCACTCACCCACACTAAACCCCTTCCCTGTTCATTAACCTGGTGCTGGTGATGATGTTGTCCCTGTGAGCCTGTCAGTGGGATCTAATATTTACTTACTGGTTACATTCAGCTGGGTTCCTGCCCCGTAGCTCGATCCCCGCACACTACAGACATAGACAGCGTTGTCACTGGCTTGCACATTTGTGATGGTTAGGATGTAGCTGTTATTGGAGATATCCCTGGAAGGTTGGAAACGTGCTGCCACTCCTCGGTGACGGTAGACATGGCCCTGTGTATCGTATGTTATCAGCTCCTGTTTGCTGGATCCATTCTTGTACCAAGTAACAATGAGTTTGCTGACATTGGCATTCTCCAGGTTACACTGAAATCTGACAGAGTCACCTTCCATCACACTGTGCACTGCTGGAGACTGGAGCAGAATGGGTGTCTCTGCTGTCAGAGGCAAAGAAACATCACTTATAAATTATCAAATGCAACGTAAAAACTGAAATATTGACATTTCATAAAACTTCTTGTATACAGAAGAACAAGAATTCAAAAAAGAACAATTCGTCATGAGCGGATATCTTAGAATCATAGAGTCACAAAGATGGATAGAGAAAGGAAATTCACCCATTGCATCCGCACCAGTCAAAAACAACCTTCTACCGATTATAATTCCACTTTCCAGTAGTTGGCCCATCGCTTCGGCATCGCAAATGCACATCTAAATACTTCTTCAACGTGCCCAGGGTTTCTGCCTTGACCACCCAGACAGGCAGTGAGTTCCAAAGACCCACCACCCTCGGGGTAAAACAGTTTTTTTCCCAATTGTCTTCTAAATGTCCTGCTTCTTCCCTTAAATCTGTGCCCGCAGTCGTTGATCCTTCCATCAGAGGGAGAAAAGTCAATTCCTACCTATTCTATCTATGCCCCTCATCATTTTATACATTTCCCTGTCCCCTCTCAATCTCCCCTGTTCTAAGGAATTCAACCTCAGTCTGTCTTGCATCTTATATCTTGCAGCGTAATTATAATAAGCTAATAAAATATGATTCTATATCTCCATCTCACTGCACCCTCTGTACTGTTGGATTAACTGACAGTATAAACTGCCCCATCCATAATCACCTCATCCCCATAACCTTATCCAATTGAAGCTCTGTCTGAAACTTCTGAACAAGGACACCTATGTCAGACTCCTGCTCATTGACTACAGCTCCGCCTTCAACACCATTATCCCCTCCAGATTGATCTAAAATCTGCATGACCTCTGTCTTGGCTCTGCCTATTGCAACTGAATCCTCAGCTTTCTGATCTGTCGAACATAATCCGTAAAGATAGGTAACTGCACCTCCTCCATGATGAATAGACTCTCTCGTTTCAAATAATGCTGATCCTGTTAACATTGATCTAGCCTCACACATGCCCTGTGCAAGTAACCTGTATGCTCCTGTCTAATTCTTTTTAATCTGTACATCCTTGCTTACTACGATCTGCCTGTACTGCTCGTAAACAAAGGCTTTACACTGTATTTCAGTTCACGCGACAATAAATAAATCAATCAATCAATCAATCAACCAGCTAATCATGTAGACTGCTTTGCCTTGAATGGTGTCAATCTTCTTGAGAGCTGTTAAAGGTGCAGCCATCCAGGCAAGAGGGGAGTCTTCCATCAAGTTTAACAAATATATGTTAACATTTTTTAAAAAGTTGTATTTTCTGGTGAAGAAAGAATTCCTTAGAAATGAAGCTTCTTATCTCTAGCACTTACACCTTCCCTGTCAGAATCACAGAATCACAGATTTGTTACGGTGCAGATGAAACAACGTAAGATCGAGAAGCAAGAAAAGGCCATTCAGCCCCTCGAGCCTGCTCCACCATTTAATATGATCATGGCTGATCTCATCTCAGACACAATGCCACTTTCCTGCATGCTCTTCATAACTCTTCAACCAATTGGTAATCAAAAAACTATTTCCTCCTTAAATTTCCTCTGTGTCCCAGTATCCAATGCACTCTGGTGGAATGATCTCACAGATGCACGAACCTCTGAGAAAAGTGATTTCTCCTCATCTCCATTTTAAATCTGCTGCCCCTTATCCTAAAATGATGACCTCTTACGCTAGATTGCTGCACAAGGGGAACCATTTACCTTGCATCTCCTTTGCCAATCCCTTCAGCATCTTATACACCTCCATTTGATCTTCTCTGATTCTTCTAAACTCCAGAGAGTACCAACCTAAACTGCTCAACCTTTCTTCATAAGGCAAGCTTTTCATCCTTGGAATCAGTCTTGTGAACCTCCTCTGACCTGTCTCCAAGCCAACAACATTCCTCCTGAAATAAGGGACTGAAATTGTACACAATACTCCAGATGCGGTCTCACTAATGTCTTGTACTTTTTGCTATCTTTTCATCATCACTGCTCATTATGTTTTCATGCACTTTAGCTTTTTGAGTTGGTGAAATAAGTCATACAATTTTTACTATGACTCAATGACTATAAGATGTAAAGTAAAGGAATTGTTTTTACTTTCTGGTTTACGTTTTTACCATGACATAGTCATGACATGCTTCTTAGTCTAACTCTTGCCCTTTCTGTACTGAGAGGCTACTGTGGTCTGTTTATGCTTTGAAAACATTGCCAGGTTTTGTTGAGGGTTAAAGAGATATATACAGCTTTGTAAGAGCAATTCAGCTAAGTCTCATTTCAAACACTTTAGCTTTTCTCAGAATTACTGACTCTCAAGAGCACAATGAATCTCAATCCACCTCTCATACATAAAGTTCTCCTTTCACACCAAGTCCCTTCTCGAATTACCTTGTTATAAATTGTCATGTGACTAGAAGCTTTCCGTATAATTGGTCATTTCAGGTCCTGACAAAGGAGAAATGCACAGAAGTTAAACAAAAGATGACCTTCATCAATATAGACTGGTTGAAATGAATGTGAGGAATATCAGATCAGTCATGAGCCTATTGAATGGCAGTGCAGGCTCGAGGGGCCAAATGGCCTAGTCAACCTGTCCATCTTCTCTCCCACCTATCTACCTCACATTCAACCAGTCTATATTGATAACAAAATCAGAAATTGCTGGAAGAGCTCAGCAGGTCTGACAGTGTCTGTGGAGAGAAATCAGAGTTAACGTTTTGGGTCAAGTGACCTTCCTTCAGAACTCTTCAGTCCATATTGGTCTTTCCCACCATGTTTGCAAAGTTATCAATGCATTGTTATTCATCTTGCTTCTACATCCCTTCAATAATGTTCCCTCATTCACATACCTTCAGTCTCGATTTTGATATTCGCTTAATTAGATTGAAATTCCCTGATTTATGTCTTTCTCCTGTTTGGAACAACAGTGGTGTATTTGTTAAAACACTCAGTTGTTGCCCTGGTATGTTTTGAGCTTGTGAACATGACAGTTAGCTTTTGCCTGATTTGAAATTGCTTTAATGTTATTATCTGTAATTTCTCATTCACAACTTAATTTTATCATCGCTGAGGAAACGTCAGGAAGACTGATATTTTAACAAAATAAACTTTAACTGGTTTACACAAGATGTCTGACTGTCAGTTTGCTTTAAGACCATAACACCAGAAGAAATAGGAACAGGAGTAGACCACACAGTATGGAGCTGGGCGAACACAGCAGGCCAGGCAGCATCAGAGGAGCAGGAAAGCTGACGTTTCGGGTTGGGACTCCTCTTCAGAAATGGGGAGGGTTTAGGGAGCTGGGAAATAAACAGAGGGAGGAGGGATGGGGCTGGTAAAAGGTAGGTGGGAAGATGATAGGTGGATGCAGGTAGGGAGTGGTGGGGATTGGTCAGTGGGATCAGTGAAGATGGACAGGTTGAGTAGACCATTCGGCCCCTCGAGCCTGCACTGCCATTCAATAGGATCATGGCTGATCTGATATTCCTCACATTCATTTCTCTGCCCTTTGTCCATAACCCTTGATTTGCCTAATGCTCAAAAATCTATTGCTTGCAGCCTTAAATATACACAAGAACATTTCCCCACAGCTCTCTGTGGCAAGGAGTTCCAAAGACTCATAATCCTCTGAGAGAAGAAACTCCTCCTCATTTCAATCTTAAATTGGGGCTCCTTTATTCTGAGATGATGCCCTCTGGTCTTATACGCTCACATAAGGAGAAACATCCTCTCAGAATTTACCCTGTCATGTCTTTAAAAGTTCTACTTGTTTCAATGAGATTATCTCCCATTCTTCTAAATCCCAGTGAGTAGAATCCCAACTTGTTTAGTCTTTGGTCATAAGACAATTCCTCCATACCAGGAATCATCCTAGTGAACTTTCTATGAACTAGTTCCAATGAAATGATATTGTTTCTTAAATAAGGGACCCAAAACTATTGACAGTTTTGGCACCTTGTATAGTTGCAGTAAAACTTCCCTACTCTCATTCTCCCCTCCCCCACTTAAAATAAGAGCCACCTGTCTACTGTATCTGCTGCGTCCAATATGGCCTCCTCTACATTGGTGAGACCAAGTGTAGACTCAGAGACCATTTCATAGAGCATCTGCACTGTGTTCACAACAAACGACAACACCTTCCGATTGCCAACCATTTTAACTCCCCCTCCCATTCCCTGGGTGACATGTCCATCCTGGGCCTCCTCCAGTGTTACAATGACACCACCCGCAAGCTGGAGGAGCAACACCTCATATTCCACCTGGGGAGCCTACAGCATGATGGCATAAACATAGAATTGACCAGTTTTAAAACCTCCCCACACCTGGTCTCATCCCAAGTCCAACCCTCCCCCTCATCCCTGCCTCGATGACCTGACACAACCTGTCCATCTTCTCTCCCACCTATCCACCCCACCCATCCCACTGACCAATCCCCACCACTCCCTACTTGCACTCAACTATCACCATCCCACTTACCTTTTCCCAGTCCCATCCCTCCTCTCTCTATTTATTTCTGAGCTCCCTTCCCCCTCCCCATTTCTGAAGAAGGGTCCCGACCTGAAACGTGAACTTTCCTGCTGGCCTGATGCTGCCTGGCCTGCTGTGTTCCTCCAGCTCCACACTGTGCTGTCTCTGGCTCCAGCATCTGTGATTCTTGCTATCTCATTCCATTCGCCCTTCTGATTACCTGCTGCCCCTGTGTACTAGCTTTCTGTGTTTCGTGCACAAGTTCCCCCACCTATCTTTGTGTTGCAGCTTTCCGCAGTTTTTCTCAGTTTCAGTAATTTGTACTTGAATCATAATCAATTACAAAGGTGGCCACATGAGAGATATTCATTGAGAGATCAGTGATATGTGGTGGTCAGGACAGTCCTCACCAGCTTTAACAGGGGGTTCCACATTCTCACCACTTCCCACAGAAACACATTCTTCCCACATTCTTCATTTGATCTGTTTGGATTTCTTTGTATTCATGATCCCTCTGCTTTTTTCTAGGCTGACGTTCCAGTGAAAACAG